ACACACCATTTATCTAAATATAGGCAGATTTTCTCTAGATGTTTGTTAATTTATTCAGCCTTACCATTACAATGAAAACAAGACCTTTAGTGCTCCAACTAGTAAAAGTAATAGGATTCACATTGGGGATGACACTAAGGCCAAGGAAAATTGATAGACTTCATACTGAGTATGTACTTATTAGGGTAGCAACCTAACATCCGTTGAATGTATGGAGATATAGATGTATGAGATTATTTTTTCATACATTCAATAGATGTTGGATGTACTGTCTCAATTAGTGCACACCTAGCATTAGTAAATCAAGAAGACTAAACCTACCTTGGAATATTAAAAAAAAATATTAATTGTGAAAATGAAACAGTAACTTTGGGTAGGGCAGAATGCTGATGGAATGATCTGGGTAACAAACCTTGTGTAGTTGGAAGAAGGGTTGTTGAGCTGAGTTACGGTTATTCTAGTGTATTCAAGACTTCATTTTTCCCCCTTTTCTCAAAAGCTGCATAGAACAAACTAGAATTGCTATGAAGTATAAGATTAATTTGATTTCAACTAAAAAGATGAAAATTGCCAGTCTATACCTTATTCGGACAATGTACTGAAGCAAAGCCTAGTTTACTTATTAGATTGCTAAAGAAAATTACTTTTAATCCCTTAAAAGCCACCAAATTCACTTGACTCCTTATAATCATACACCTACTTCTCCTTAACAGCCGTGCTTTGACCTCAGCCATGAGAAGTCCAGAACCCACCACCCCATCCCAAGGAAACTTCTAGCTTGATCAATAATTCCTTATTGGAACAGGAGCTTAGTCTAAAATAATGACTATCTACCTGGCACAATCAATTTATGGCCAAAAAAAAAAAAAAAAGTTATAATAATAACAATTATAATAAAAAACAATGCTTCATTTTCTTAATTTGGGATATGAGAAATACTAATGTAATTTACATTGAATCTATGAGGTGGTTGTAAGATACAGTAGTTGATCAAATTGAACATAAAATAAGCACAACATAAATTATCATTCCAAACCCAAGGACCCAGTCTTCTTGCCTTTCCTATCACTGCCAAAAGGGGATTTAAAACAGAAGAATTTTGTTCCAAGTGATTTCATCAATGGAGTTTTAAAGAAATAAAAATCTGAAAACACGTGTTCTGTTTAAAACAATTCAAGGTAAATGCAAAGGAGAAACAATCACCACATCCTCCATACACGTCCAATTGTTTTAGAAATAAAATTGAAGAAACAATGGAGAAATCAACCATAAAAATTAGGATAACCCTAACAGACCTGAATGAAGTATCCAGTGCTGACACTGACGAGTATTTATTGGCATCATCAAGCGTGTTGGGAACGTTAAAAAAGGCCGTAAGTGGAACCAGCAGTTTCATACCTGCTGAAAAAAAAGGATATAGGAATAATTGTATTGGAAAGAGAAGGGGGGCAGTGAGAAAACAGAGACCTTGTGGTGGAGAGAGAGGTCATTGAGAGCGTTGGAGGTGATTTTGAGGTGAATAGTGGCAGTCAGAATGTTATTGAGGCTGTCTTGGAGTGGATTCACTTCCAGATCGCTCTGATTTTTCAGAGACTTGAGTTTTTCCATGCTTGTTTCTCCACGTAAATCCTGCCCCTGCTGTTGCTCTGCTTGCTCTTGAGGCCATTTGCTTCGCACACAAAACCCCACAATCCCCTTCCTTCTCACTTTCACTCTGTTTCTATGGCCTGGTCTCTGTTTTTCAATTTACGAGAATTGAATATGGTATAGGCTAACTTTGCTATAGTTGCCCCGATAGCTCACTGGTAGACAGTCAGTCTTATAGACTGAAGGTCCACGGTTTAATCCTGCATATAGAGGCAATAATTTGATATTTCTTAATTGATTCTTAATAATTAAAAATATTGTGTTCTTTGAATTTTACTGTCTCAATTTATTAGGATTTTTTTTAAAATGTAAACAAAAGAAAAAGAAATTGAATTGTAGGGTCAGTTTTTATTACAAAACTCAACTGAAATCTCTTATTATTTTTGTATATAATATTTTATTTATACTGCCACAATACGTATGGAATATTATTAATACCCTCTTAGTTGATTAGTTTTGGTGGGTAAAATATTGAATGATGTACTTAATTAATAGAAGCATCTATTACACAAGAAATTGGCTCCTTTAAAATGAGATTATACACCAAAAATATGACTTTCTAGTGCCAAGGTATAAACTGATAGGGGAAGATGACCACTTGATCCCATCCCTGTTAATGACTAAAACTCAACTAACCAAATACATGAAAAACTTGGACTAATCGACATGATTTACACCACCGGTTTTAGTGTCTTTGGATCGTATTTACATGGTATTTCGTTATAATTTATTGGTCCTTTGTAATTATAATTGCTAAGGTGTTATTTGGAGCAAAAGTCTCGTAGCCATAGGACTACAAATATGTTAAATTTAGATCAAATCAGATAAATTCAAATCTGAATTCGATTATTCATTTTTGTGTTCAAGTTAATATAGATTTTATAAGATATGTATCTGTTAAATTATATTTGAATCTAATAAAATAATCTGAAATCTGATAAAAAAATCCAATCTGATAAGAAAATAATATTCTTTTATATTTAAGTCATTCACCTCTATTCTATCAATCATATTAGTCTCTCAATTTTCTGATTTTTCTAATTTAGTTTCCATAATTTAAATTTAATAAGTATATTATATAATATTATTAATTTAATTAAATATGTTATTAAATTTAAATTCAGATTTTTAATAAATTGGATTAATTATTTTTATATCCGATATTACTTATTTTAGATTACAGATATTTATAATTAGATATAATTTATCAAATATTTTAATCAGATTTAAAATCTAAAATCTAATAAAAAATCGTTGTTATTTGAATTAAATTTAATCAATTTGATAATGCTAGCTAATAGTCTTTTTTTTTTTTAAATTTTCTTAATCTCAGAATGAAAACATTAGATATGTATCCATAATATTAATTGAATTGATTTAACCAATGTAAAAGCATTAACCTTGAAACGGCTCCCCTTCGTGGGTAAACCAAAATTGGCATTCTTCCTTCCGAGTGTGAAATGGAAAGAATCAAAATTGTTCATGTTATTTTAGTGATATAGCCAGAAAATATAAATTATCAGCAAAGCAATGGATAATTGTGATTGCCCTGTTTGGATAAACTTTTTAAGGAGTAATTATTTTAGAAGTTGAAGTGTATTACTACTTTTTACTTGTTTAGATATACAAAATTATAAAGTGTTTTTCATAAAATTACTATAACATACTAATTATATACATTTTTTTTTATTAAGAAGAAGTCAACCTTAAGCTAATGCTATATAATTATATACACTTTTTGTATGTAAAGGACGTCACTATCTAAAAATGTTGTTCTAATTTTTATCCATGCTTCTATTTCTTCTATTACAAAATAGAGTTTGAGAAATTGGTTTTTACTAACTTATCGAAAAAAAAAAAAAAAAAAACTTTTTTTAGAGTCTCAGATTTTTTATTAATTTTACGTTGGCAGATTTTTTTTTATCAAATGTATTTTTTTAAATAAAAAATACTTCTTTTATGGAAAAAGGCCCATCCAAGCGACCCAATGCATGGAATAGATGGAAAGTCGACAAAAATCAAATGGAGAGACCTTGATCCAGATTGACCTGGGCTCCTTTACCTCTCGGGCCCAGGGCGTGTAACATAGGGGGCATCGACCAGAAAAAGCCCAAATTGCGCTACGAGTCCCAGCAAAACCTGTGGTTTCACTTTACGCCCCTTCACAGGCAGAAGCCATAGCATCGCATCTAACTGCATCGCATCGTAGGCAAAAGGGTACGCTGAAACGCTTCCATGGCTCCCAAGGCAAGGAGAAGCCGAAACCTTCGCCATCGACTGCACCCAGCCTATAATTGCCATCGAAGACCTCTTCACCAATCTCAATCGACACATCCAGCGTTCTGAGTACGAGCAGGCCGTCAAAGTAGCAGATCAAGGTCTGTTATTTCTTTGTATTCACTTAAGCGGAACGACTTACTTCAATTTTTACCCAGTCTCCTGGCAGTATCCGTATAATACTACGTTGGATCTTTCCTGAAACATAACCTAGAATGAGATTGTATATATATTTGTGTAGTCATTTTGCATCAGGTTTCTCGTCGACTATCCAATTGTTTTCATATTCTGGACCTTTACTCCTATTTACAGTTCTCTCCATTGCCCCCAATGATGAGGATGCCGTTCGTTGCAAGATTGTGGCTTTAATTAAGGCCGATAGCATTGAGGAAGCTCTTTTGACCATGGAGTCTTTCCGAAAGCTTCCGATTGATTTTAGTTTCTTCAAGGTAAATCTGAGCTTGTTCACGATATTATATGGTGCATAATCTTTTATTTTGCTTGTTTAATGCTTGCGGTGGTCTGACTTTGATTGAGGCAAAAGTTCATTTTTTGAAATTGCAGCTGTTGTAATACATTTCAGTTTTTCTACTCTACGAGGTTTTAACTGTTGCAAAGATAGGTTTGCTAGTTGTAGTGGGTTTTGACGCTGCAGTTCCTTGCAGTTTGTCTGCACTGCTAGCTCTTTAATAGTTCCAAGATTGGCTTTCTAGTTTTTATGGCTGTTTTGACAACTTACCTTCATAATTGAGCAACTGAGATGTATATATCAAAAATTTTATTCATACTTTGATCAGGACATGATGGCTCCTGTAAGAAAGCAGTCAAATCTTTTTATAATTTTTTTCCCTTTTCCTCACAAAGTCTATGCGCTTATAGATAAAAACAATTCCGTCACATATATATGTATCTATGAACCCTAAAAAATGTTGGTTCTCAGGCATGGTATTCCTAAGAACCCTGTCTTACATTGCAGTGTACCTTTGATGATCCTTCATTGGAAACAAAGAAAAGAATTACCTTGTTAGCAATGTAGTTACAGGTTCCCCAAGTTCTTCCCCCAATTCAGTGGCTGCCACGTGCTGCTTCCTCGTGCTACCCTAGGTTGACTGCTGGAAGTGTGGCCCTATCGTCAAAGTTTTACTTCTTCTGCTAGCCTCCTGTACCTTCATACCCAAGAGTCGGCCTCAGGACTTCAATCACCACGTTTTTCATTAACTTATCAAGCAGAGAGCAACCTCTCCCTTTTTCTACTGACTTGCGTGCTGTTGACTGGATTTTTTGCGCTTATCCTTGTTCTGTACCTGCTGATTTGATTCTTTAGCAGGTAATTTTCATTACTGTGTCTGTTTACTTGCTTTCTTTCTTTTTCTTCTTCTTTTTTCTTAGTCTGGTGTTGGCTGCCTCTTGTTTTCGGATTCTCTTTCCCTTTCCCACTTCTGTTTGGTTGCCAGCAATTTTATCTTTCTATCGGTTGCCACTGATACCTCCCTTTCTGTGTTTATCAAGGTCGACACTGCATATTACCGCCTTACCATGAAACATTTTAGTATTCTACTGACTTTAAAGATGCTGCTTCTCCTTATTTTTAAGAAATGTTTTGTAGGAAACATTTTCAGTAAAATTTTACCAAACACATTTTCAACCTTATTTTCTGTTTTTATTGAAAGTGAAAATAGGAAACATGGAAACTAAACACAGTCAACCTTAAGTTCTCAGACCCTGTTCACTTCTATGCCCTTTTGCTTCATTCCTGGCATTAACATCGCATGTTTCACTCTTTATTTTTAAGTTGTTGAACACTCTTTCTCTTTCACATTCCAGAAGTTTGATGTGGCCTAGCCATTGCTGAATTTTATGAATTTGTAATTTTGCCTAGGTGCCTGTTCTATATCGAATTGATAATCATGAAAATTTTCTATGTATTATTTATGTCTTTATTTCATATTTTAAGCCCTCATATCTCTAACTATGCCCAATCTATCTCAGAATTGAGTGAGCAGGACATGGCCTTTCATAAACTAGCTTATTAAAAACTACAACTATGAAATTTAAGGCAAGTGATCTATTTTTTGTTTTCCTCTATGCACCACTTGACTTATTTGATTTATTCAGAAGAGGAGCTACATTTAACAAAAACTAAATGACTTATCAAGGATCCCATGCCTGCACAACAAAGACAAATTTGCCACAAGGAACCTAGAACTGTTACTTTTGAGTTTTAATTTTCCGAAGGAGGGGCATTAGCTTGAACAAAATCTATTTTCTCGTGTTTTAGATTCAACAACTGCACAACAGCAGTGTAATATTCAGAAGTTCTGAATGTTTTAGGCCCTTCTAATGCTTGTCTTAGTTTATATCCTGAAGCAAATGAAATTACGTACTTATTTCCTAGTGACGTTGTCTTATATATTTTCCTTTTTTATCTTTGTTATTATAAGTAGGCGTACTGCAAGTACAGACAAAACTGGTTAAATGAAGCTCTGGACTTGTTAAAAGGCCAAGATGGGAATTCGGCAGCCATGCTGTTGCAATCTCAAATTCTTTCTCGTATGGGAAAGATGGATGCTTCTTTGGATATTTATCAGAAGCTTCAGAAATCCAAGATAGAGTCGATGGAGATAAATCTTGTTGCTGGTTTGGTTTCTGCTGGGAGGGCTTCTGAAGTGCAAGGAGTGATGGATGTTCTCAAAGTGAAAGCAACTAGCAGCTTTGAGTTGGCATATAACACTGCCTGTTCCTTGATTTCAAGGAACAAATATTCAGATGCAGAGCAACTCCTTCTGTCTGCTCGAAGGTAATCTATATGTTGTGTGTGAGATTTTATCAGAAGTAGCAATTTACTTTCTGCATATTAAGTGGTGATGGCAGAAATTGTAGAGAAGAGGGAAAAGGAGAAATGGCTATCCTCTCAAAGGGATCACCCGCACGAGTTGTCAAAGTCAATTCATTATTCAACCCTCTTCTAGTTAATATGAAAAATGAATACAAATATATTGAGAAGTATCCTAATGCTGCTAGAAGTCTTAATTCTAATTAAAGCAAATCTTACTTGGCTTCAGACAAGAAATCCTAATCCTAAAAACAATTGATAAAATAAATCCTAAACTAATTAAAACATTGAAATATTAAATTCCCAACACTAATAAAATTCTGAAAGTATGTTAATATTATAAAATCCCAAATTCTTGTATTTCTGGCTCTTTTGGATCCAACATCATTCTCCCTCTGTTGGATAAAACTTGTCCTTCAGTTTTGTAATACTGCAGGTATAGGAAACATCAGTCTGTTTTGCTGAATATAATGAGGCTCCATATTGAGACACAAAGGGTAGGAGAACTAGAGTTGACTCCATTGCTGCTCCTTGCCTTTTGTCATCTTTTCTCCCACTTGGGCGATCTCATACTTGTTAATCTTCATAGTGATAGCATCTTCATTAAGAACCTTAACATTTTCATTCTCTGGAGCGTTATCAATCTGAGCACTTGCATCGTCTAGACAAGTAAGAGCATTTTCCACAATCTTCGCTACAGAATCTTTTTCACTTAAAATTTTCTCAGCCTCATCATCTGCTGAATGTCTTGCATTTCAAGGGCACAACATGGCATTGTACGTGTCATAGAGAGGCTTCACATAGCGAGGGTTTTGGTGGCTTGATAGCCATTGCAAATTTTGTAATTTTTTCTATGATTATAAGGTTCAGCTTCTTTCTTGGTGATGGGCCCTTTTAACTATGTGCGGACTGCTTAGGAAATGGCAAGGGCCTGGTACTATGCTACAATTTATTGGAACTACTGATCAATATGTCAATTTCATTTGTGGCCTAAATAAATTGCATTGTTGCTGTGTAATATATTTTATTTCTTTGACTATCTTACGATGCTATTTGTTATGTATTGAGATGTACTACAAGAATATCAAATTCATGTTCTTCTCCTTTTGGTCACAGAATTGGTCAAGAGACACTAATGGAAGAGAACTTGGCAGATGATGACGTAGAGATCGAGTTGGCTCCAATAACTGTCCAACTGGCATATGTTCAGCAGGTAGGATAGTGGCTTTATACGCATTTTTCCTCCTTTTACTAAGAGAATGAGCATCTGTCATTTTCTATGCAAAATGATTATTTCTTCAGCTCATGGGACGCACTCAAGAAGCAGCTGAAGCTTACACAGAATTTATAAAGCGAAATCTTGGGGATGAATCATCACTTGCTGTTGCAACCAACAATCTTGTGTCAGTGAGGGGTGCAAAAGATGTCTCCGATAGCATTAGGAAACTTGATCGATTAATGGAAAAGAGCAGTGGGCCACAGAATTTTCACCTTGCAAATGGACTTGACCTGAAGCTTTTGCCAAAACAGAGGGAAGCAATATATGCCAATCGGGTGCTCCTGCTTCTTCACTCGAACAAGATCGAGCAGGTGTTTTATCTTGCATCTCCATTGGATTGTTTTCCTGTGATTGTCTCATCCTTGTATCCCTTCCATGTTTTTTTCCTTTATGTGCTTATATGCATTGATGGGTTTTGTAGGCTCGCGAACTTGTTGCCATGCTGCCTGACATGTTTCCTGATAGTGTGATGCCAGTCCTGCTTCAAGCTGCACTTCTTGTGAGAGAGAACAAGGCTGGAAAAGCTGAAGATGTGCTAGATCAGTTTTCAGAGAAGCACCCGGACAATTCAAAGGTGGTTCTCCTGGCAAGGGCACAAGTTGCTGCTGCTGCTGGCCACCCTCAAGTTGCAGCAGAGTCCTTGGCAAAAATACCCGACATACAACACATGCCTGCCACTGTTGCAACCCTTGTGTCACTAAAAGAGCGTGCTGGAGATATTGAAGGTGCAGTTGCAGTTTTTGATTCTTCAATCCAGTGGTGGTCCAACTCTATGGCTGAAGACAGCAAGCTCAGCCTCATCATGCAAGAGGCAGCATCCTTTAAGCTCAAGCATGGGCGGAAGGAGGAGGCTGCTCGACTATACGAGGAGCTTGTCAAGACCCATGGGAGTATTGATGCTTTGGTCGGCCTGATAAAGACAGCTGCATATGCAGATATTGATAAAGCAGAAGCTTATGCAAAGCAGCTGAAACGCTGCCTGGTCTCAAGGCAATTGATGTTGATAGTCTAGAGAAGACTTCTGGAGCGAAGAATCTTGAAAATGGTCCTAGTTTAGGGATTACTGAACCATTTGAGGCTAAGGGCAAGGAAAAAGCAAAGAAGAAGAGGAAGAGGAAGCCGAGGTATCCAAAAGGATTTGACCCTGCTAACCCTGGTCCACCACCTGATCCGGAACGGTGGCTACCAAAGAGGGAGAGGTCTAGTTATCGGCCAAGGAGAAAGGATAAGAGAGCAGCTCAGGTGAGAGGCTCTCAGGGTGCAGTGGTTAAAGAGACTGTCAACACTAATGTAAAATCAAGCCAAACAAGCAATCCCAAAGGAGCACCTCAGAGCGCAGTTTCAGAGCAACGCAAGTCCTCTAAATCATCCAGAAAGAAATCGAGGAATTAGTGAGGTTAGCAGGACTATAACTTTTCTGTTTTTTTTTTTTTAAATAGTGTTTTATTTGACATGTTTTTGATTGCCTTCAAGGACTGGAGTTTTAGTTAATTTATCATTTGTCTGCATTCTTATTTACGTCAAATAACTTTTTTCGGGGCATTTTCATAACAGCTGCCAGACTTTTAGCACTTCTAACCCCCAAAAAAAATTGCTCTTCAACTATCCTTTTTTTTTTTTTTTTTTTTTTTTTTTTTTTTTTTTCTGGGTTCTCTCCTCATCTAATTAAATATGAGCGTGCATTTTAATAATTTACCCACTTCCTATTTTTATGGATAGTTCAAAATTTTGAGGATAAATATGTATAATTTAAAGAAATTTATAAAACATACATATTTATGCCTTCAAAAAAAGTAAATAGTATCCCAAATTATGAAAACTAAACCTTCACTGGAGTTTTTATTTACATCCGCTTACTAGATATCATTTTTTATATATAAACTTTTTATTGGATTAAACATCTTATGTTTTCTTTAAGAGAAATAAAAATGTAAAAATTTCTTTAATGTAAGTGGTGGGTAAATAAACAAGTTGCAAATAAATTATAAAAGTTCTCAAAGAAACGAGGATGTGAATAAAAATTTGAGTTGGATTATGTCATGACAATTAACTGGCTGAGATCTTAAACTTGCCATGAAAAAATGAAGTAGCATAAAATAAAATAAGGAAAACAAAGGTTAAATCTCAAGATGAAGATTGCCTACTTTTCCTGCATGAAATAAGAATCAAACTAAAAATAATTTGAATTAAAGTGAAAAAAAAACCTAATTAATCTAGATAAGAAAAGTCCTAGAGCAAAATATAAGACTCTAAGCCAATTAAGGCTCTTAATTTGTCTCACCACAATTGTTCCATTTCTAATCTTTTTTTTTTTTGTTTGAGCTTTATATTTTTTCTCTTTCAAATTTTTATTTCATCCCCTTAGTTATCTCATTTCCTTTCCTTTTAATCTTCTCTAATGACATTTTTTAATTTATGAACTATTTAACAAGGAGAATAATAATTACATTTCTTAGGTACATCTTTAAAATACATAAAATGCCATTCGTGAGATGTCATATGCAAACTACAAAATGTACACTCATATGTATGCCATGAAGAGTATGAAGTTGATCATAAACATTCTTGGTGCGGGATGTTTCAACTTGAAACTGACAACGTATTGAAATTAAGGGGAAATTCATAAAGACCTTTTCTGATATGATACAATACAAGCAAGGCAAGGAGAATGTTTTGGCTGATACCTAGTCATGTAAGTATACATTACTTTTTGCATTCAATTCTAAGTTGTTAGAGTCAAACATATAAAAGAAATGTATACAACTTGTACTAATTTTACTAATGTGTATGATGCATGTGAACATGCTTCATTTAATAAGTTTTACAAGCGTGATAATTTTCTGTTTATGGAAAATAAATTATGTGTGTCTGTAGTCTCTTTAAGAGTTACTCGTGCATAAAGTACATAGTGGAGGAATGATGGGGTTGACACGGCAATTTAAAGTTACTAAGATATTTGACATTCTGTACAAGCATTTCTCTTGGCTACACATGCCTAAAGATATTGAAAGATGATGTGCGAGATGCATTGAATGTAGTCCAGCTAAATCTAAGGTCCAACTGTTTGAAAATATGTTTTATTAGAAACAAGGTAACCAAAAATAATGTTCTGAAAAAAGAAATAAGCTTGAAAAAGGAAATACCCAAACTGGGATTAACTTGCTTGAATAGGGATTATGTTAAAAAGGATTTTTGTCTTGGGAAGGAAATTCCGTAAAAGGAATGAATTATTAAATTTCATTATTATTACCAGTATTATAATATGACTCCTATTAATTGATCATATTTTTCTAATGAAATAAAATTGAGAAAAATTTAAAACTTTAAATTATTTTGAACTATATATAAATAGAATAGTGACACATGGCAGGGGATAAATCATTTTCTAATGCTTCCCCCTCCTTCCACCCTTGCCAAAGCAAAGCTGCAGAGGGGTTTAAATATAACTAAAAAACTATTTTGATGTAAAAAGAATATTTGTGTGAAAGAAATTAAATATTTATTATAAATTATTCAATTTTATAATGAAATATAATTATATAATAAAATTTATTTTTATTCAAACTATTGTTTAAAAAATTTATTTTCCTTAAATTCACTTAAATTTATGTCCGAACCACTTAAGACTAATTATAGTGCTTAGCTCAAACATAACATAGTGAAGCAGTTGCTTTAGATCTCAAAAATTTTAGCCCTCCAATTTTTAAGGTTTTGTAATATTTTGTATTATTATTAATAATTTAAAAAATTGTAAAAAATAAAAAATATAACAATTAATATCATCTATATTAATTAATCAACTATAACTCATTCACTTCCCCCACAACTCCTAATTTTCTCTTCTATTTATCTCATAATTAAAATCTACTATTCTCAAAACAATTATATTTTTATTTTAATATTTATTTATTTTATAAGTCCTATTTTTCTCCATCATTATCTCTTCCACCTCCCACCTAACTTTTGATTTGTTTCATTAAATTTTTAATGTTCATCTTCTAATGTTAAATTTTTTCTCCATGTAATTAAGTGTTTGGTTTTAATTTTATTATTTTTATTGGTTTTCATATTGAATAAGGTTCCGAACCTAGGAATGATTAAAGTTTGAAATACAAACAAAAGTCTTGAACCATGTCTTTACATCAAAATACTTGTCTGTGATTAACAAAGCTATTAAGAACGAATAATAGTATTAAACTGAAAAAGGAGCAAGAATTGATTGCTAAGATCAGGAATGATGTCAATGGAATTACGGACTCCCCTTATGCTACAAAATCCATCGGTAAAGTCGAACTTAAGGCTGAAAAAATAAAGAAATGAGTCTATCGATTCAGTGAATAATAATACATATTTACATGACAAGGGACTTATATCCAATGCTCTTATCATAAAAACATAGTTTTTCAGCTTATACAAATTAGGGAGCTCGAAACAGAGAACTAAACGGAAAGAAATACAGCGACCTCATGGTTTGCCATTACACATATAGCAGAACCGCGCCCTTTGCCGGTAATTAAAAGACAAATATACCATGTTAGTTTTATGTGATAGTCTAGCATCACCCTTCCTAGATGGGGATACAATTTAAGGTGCACTCAATCTAACGCTACTGTCGTTAGCTATAGTGTTCCCCTCTAAAACCCAAATATGTATATGCTTAGGTTTTCGTATTCGAACCTTTATCAGGAATTTTAAAGTCCTAAACCAATCAAATAATTCACCTCTTATGTATTAAGTCTTGAACCGACTCTCAAAACATAAAATCGGTCTAATTATCCTTTGAACCAACCATTAAAGTACGAAACTGGACTTGAACCGGTTACTAGAAGGTTGAAATAAACATGAACCGGTCAAAACAACATTGTTCTGGACCTCAACCCACTGAATTGGCCTTAATTCTACTAAACTGGCCATAAAACCCAATGAACCGGCCATAAAATCCATTGAACTGGCCAAAAACCTATATGAACCAGCCATGAAATACACTAAATCAACCATAGAAGTTACTAAACCATAATTAAACCCATTGTACGGCCAAAAAATAGCTTGAACCAACTATAACAGTGTTGAATCGGTGGTTTAATTCCATTATTCTTTAATTTTTTCTACTAAACTTGTAGGTTTACCCTTGAACCGGCCATTAACCAGTTAGATCAATTTATTTAGAAATCTTGTTATAACTTGAACTGGTCGGGAACCAGTGTGAAAGGCCTTGAACCGGCCTATTCTTATTTCCTGCTATTTTCTTATTTGTTTATTAGTTTATTTATTTACTGGATTTGGATCCAGATCCTAATCCACCCATAACTCGTTTATCCCAAAGGCTTGGCCCATGGCCTACAGCCCAACACTTAAAAGTTTGGCCCAATGCTTTTAGGTTGGCTCGTGGCCCAAACCCGTTTTTAATGTTTGCCCAACCTATTATCAGGGATCTAGGTCATATCTAGCCCGAATCACCAACTGGCTCTGTTCTTCCAGACTCGGTTCTGTAAGCAGAACTCGATAGCTTCATTCTACAAATTCTTAAAAATTACCTCAATTTCCCTTGAAATATCTATAGATCTATGCTCAAAATGATCAAACGACCACCAAAAGCTCTAGGAAGTTGGCTTGTAAGCAGCTTTTGTTACCAAATTAAAGCTTATAAACTCTGGCTATGGCGTACGAATGATCGAGCTGAAAATCAATAATTTTGCCACGAAAGGTGAAGGTTTTCTGCAAATTGTTCGAGGGTTCTGGTAGATCTAGCCTCGTCACACTCCAATGTATACAAATTGAATCGAAAACATTTGATTTAATAACGAATTGAAGAGCTATTACTCTATGGATCCGAACATTATAGGCGTTCAACTCTATTGCAAGGAAATTTCACTTTAGTCGTCAATCATGCTAATAATTTAGGATTTGACCCTTACAAGTTCTATTTCCCCCAATTTAACCACTTAATTTTCAATTGACCCCCTTATGTTTTTATTCTTCCAATTACACCCTTAACTAGAAATTTATTTATTTATTTTTAATTACCCAATAATTTGGAGCTTTACAGTTAAAATACCCAGACAACCAACAAGTTTGGTAGAACAGTGAAATATTCTTTGACTAAAATATGAGTTTTGGTTCTATAATCACATCTAAATTTTGAGATTACCTAGTTAATGTTTTATAATCTCATCTAAATATTTTTCATTTTCACTTTTAAGGTAATTGTTTCTTAATTAAATTTTTTTACATGAAATTGTCTATTTTCATTTTTCATATTCGCTTGCTAACCTTGATTTTTTTACACAAATAATTGTCTAATTAAAGAGAGATATCGTGCACAGAAATGAGGATTTCTATTTAAAACCAAATCAAGACTAAATGTATTATAGCTTTTAAATTTTTGAGTTATA